GGGCCTGAACTCTGGGCCTGGGCGCTGTCCCTAAGCTCTTCAGCTCAAGGCTAGCGCTCTACCACTTGAGCCACAGCACCACTTCTGGCTTTTTTTCTTTTTGCTTATGTGGTACTGAGGAAATGAACCCAGGGCCTCATGCATGCAAGGCAAGCGCTTTACCACTGAGCCACCTTCCCAGCCCCTCTTATTTATTTCTGTTGATTTTATGCAGAGGTTTGAACTCAGGGTCTTGCACTCTGGCTTGATTTTTGCACTCAATGCTGGCATTCCACCACTTGAGTCACAGCTCTACTTGTGCTTTTTTGCTGGTTAACTGGAGATAAAGAGCCTTGTAGGCTTTCTGGTATTGGCTGGCTTCAAATTTTGATCCTCAGATCTCAGCCTCCTGATTAACTAGGATTATAGGCATGAGCTACCAATATCTGCCTATACTTACGTTTATTATTTGTTCTGGGCACTTGGGAACTGGGAATATAGAAATAAAATAGCCAGTGTTGTAAAATACTTGTGGTTAAAGTGAGGAGACTAAAGATAATTGTTATGCTGTAATTTGTTTCTTTTAAATTATCTTTTGTTATACAAAGGTGTTACCATTCAACATGTCAGTTGCTATAATTGTTATATGTTAAATGCAACAGTGTGATCTTGTAGGATTCTGTAAGACCACAGGACAAGTTCCCAAAGAGTATGAGGAAGTTATCACTTGTATTGAGTCCTGAAGATAGAATAGTAGTTGAGTAGAAAGAGAGGCATTTCTGAAAGCTTGCGAGAGTGAAAGAATTCTATGTTACTAAATGTTTTGATTTTTTTACTTCCTGCTTTTGTTACAGAAAAACCATAGAATCTTTGGTATATGTCTATTTCCTAGGTTTCCTTCCAGGTGATACTGCCAGGCACCACCGAACTGTTATCCTAGATCTGCTGCAGGAGGCACTGGCAGAAGCTGGATTAACCTCCCAGGACATTGATTGTATTGCTTTTACCAAAGGTATGGCAGGGAGAGGGATAAAGTGTGGCAGAGTTTACCTGAGCCTAAGTTAATCTTCACCTTGCCTCTGCCCCTACAACCAACCCCACACTTTCACTTTTTTTTTTTTTTTTTTTTGGTCTGTCATGGGGCTTGAACTGGGGGCTGAGGCATTGTCCCTGCGCTCTTTACTCAAGGCTAGTGCTCAACCACTTTGAGCCACAGCTCCATTTCCAGTTTTTAGTGGCTAATTGGACATAAGAGTTTCAGGACTTTCCTGCCTGAACTGGCTTTGAAGTTTGATTTTCAGATCTCAGCCTCCTGAATAGCTAGGATTACAGGCATGAGCCACCAGGGCCCAGCTACCTTTCACACTCCTATATCTTTTACTTCCCTTACCTGTTTTTTTTTTGTTGTTGTTTGTTTATTTGCTTTTAATTTCTATGATTCTAACTTGCCAATTATAAACTTCTAGGTCCTGGCATGGGTGCTCCATTGGTTTCTGTAGCTGTTGTTGCCCGTACTATAGCCCAGCTGTGGAACAAACCCTTGCTGGGAGTGAACCATTGTATAGGTCACATTGAAATGGGCCGCCTCATCACTGGAGCCACTAACCCAACTGTGCTGTATGTCAGCGGAGGAAATACTCAGGTACTTGCTTATTCTACCCATTCCATCTTTGTCTCTAAGGCATTTAGCCAGTAATTCCCTACTCCCTGAGTTCTAGGAACTGCAAAAACAAACCTGAGCTTGTCTAGACCTAAGATACTGTAGGAAATATACAGTGTAGTTTGTAATTTTGCAGAGTTGGGCAAGACAATTAGAATATTAGATGAGAGTGGGTTTTGTTTTATTTTTGTTGTTGTTGTTGCTTTTTGAGACAGGACATTAGTGCTGCATGTGTGGCTCAAGTGATAGATTTCCAGGAAATGAGACAGGGTCTCACTGTGTAGCCCAAGCTAACTGTAAGCTCAGGACTCTCCTGTAACAGCCACCTGAGAGCATTAGACAATTTTTATATATGGATTATAATTAGGAATTTCTAATTCTAAAAAGGAAAGAATGAGTAAGAATTAAAACCTTCAGTTTTGAAGCTTTTTTGTGTGTGTTTGTCAGTCGTGGTGCTGAACTCTGGGCCTGCGTACTATTCCTCAGCACACTACCACTTAAGCTACAGTACCACTTCCAATTTTTTCTGCTTATGTGGTGCTGAGGATTCGAACCCAGGGCCTCATTCATGCAAGACAAGCACTGTACCACTGAGCCACCTTCCTAATCCCTCTATAATTTCTTTAAGATAACTACATGTGTTGTTTTATGTTACTATGGATAAATACATAGATTTTTAGTAAATATTTAGACTTTTGTTAATTCTAAGAATGTAAACATACAAATAAGAAATACAGCTAATGATAGGTTTTTTAAACTTACGGGAGAAATATTAGGGATATTTTATATGATTTTGTGTGTGTGTGTGCCAGTATTGGAGCTTAAACTCAGGGCCTCACTTTCAGGTTTAGTTTTTTCAAACTAGACTGGCATTCTTATCACTTCAGCCACACCTCCACTTCTGACTTTTTGGTAGTTTATTGTTCGTAAGAGTTTCACAGCCCTCCCAAGATGGGCCTCAAACCTCAGGATTATAGGCGTGAGCCACCAGCACCCACTAGTCTAACCTTATAAGTTAATTTTTGAGTTCTTCTACTTTGCCTCCTCTTTGGTTTTGACTAATTGTACTGGTTCATTAATCTAGAAGGACTCCTTGCCTCTAAGCAAGAAACCCTGTTCCCTAGTTCACACTGCTTCTGGGTGATATATGTATATATTAGGAAACTAAAAACTAGAAAATGTGAAACAACAGATTTCACCTGCAAAATTCTTTTTGTAAAGCCAGGGTATGGCTATTTAGCCAAAGCTGACCAAGCTATATATCCCAGAATGGCATCAAATCCGAGATCCTCTTATCACTGTCTCCTGAGAAACTGGAATTGAGAGTTTGCACTATCAAGCCTGCCTGGCACATTTTTCCATTTCTTACTGGGATGTAGAATAGTTTAGTGGACATTTTGACAATACTACTCTTTTATCCATTGCTTAATACTCCTCTTTGCAGACAATTGTAGAATTGTTTAGTGGAAGTTTTTGACAATACTACTCTTTTCTCTATTGCTTAATGCTCCTCTTTGCAGACTTCAGGCTTCACAGACATTGTCATCCTTAGGTGATTGCCTACTCAGAGCATCGTTACCGAATCTTCGGGGAAACCATTGATATTGCTGTGGGCAATTGTTTGGATCGTTTTGCTCGAGTGCTGAAGGTGGGCCATTGAGATTGCTGAAAACTTAAGATGTTTTCTAGAAAACAATGGAAATGGAGAGAGGAAGTAGTTAATAGTGTCATATGCTTCTTACATAATATCCTCCTCCAGTTACTTTAAGTGGTGGTTATTGGTGTTGAGACTTTCTTGAACATACTGTGTAGCATAAGCTAACTTTGAACTTGGGATCCTTGGAATCCTCCTGCCTCTACTTCCTGAGTATTGGACCTACAGGAGTATACCATCATGCCTAGCCTTTAAAAAATAATGTGGAGCCGGGCGCTGGTGGCTCACACCTGTAATCCTAGCTACTACTCAGGAGGCTGAGATCTGAGGATCACGGTTTAAAGCCAGCCCGGGCAGGAAAGACTGTGAGACTCCTATCTCCAATAAACCACCAGAAAACCTGAAGTGGCGCTGTAGTTCAAGTGGTAGAGCACTCGTCTTGAGCTGAAGAGCTGAAGGACAGTGCCCAGGCCCAGAGTTCAAGCCCCATGACCAACAAAAAATAAATAAATAAAAATAATGTGGGTGGATAGTCATTTACATATTTATATGTATAATTTTCTTGTTACATACCCACATATATACATACATATACATTCCTTTTTTTTTTTTTTTTTTTGCTGGTCCTGGGGCTTGAACTCAAGGCCTGGGCATTGTCACTTGAGCCACAGCTCCACTTGAAGCTTTTTGGTAGTTAATTGGAGATAAGACTTTCACAGACTTTGTGCCCAGACTGGCTTTAAACCAGGATCCTCAGATCTCAGACTCCAGAGTAGCTAGGATTAAGGTGTGAGCCACTGATGCCCAGCTTTATATATTTTTTTTTCTTTTTTTTTGGGGGGGGGGGTCTGGTCATGGGGCCTGAACTCTGGGCCTGGGCACTGTCCCTCAGCTCTTCAGCTCAAGGCTAGCACTCTACCACTTGAGCCACA